TGTCGTCTCTGATGAGGCCCACCACCGTGGCGTCGTCTGCAAACTGTGATGTCGTGTGTCATCAGGGTGAACATCTTTGTGTATCTCTGCCTGTTTCCTGTTTCAGCACATTGTTTTCTCTGTTGGTCAATAGTGAATATTCTAATCTATTTAATATAGATTAACCTGGAGTAGGTTTAACCCTCTGAAACTAGTCAGTAAAGTAGCTTCAGCATCTCTCTTTATGTTTACTTTAAGGTAACGTCTAGAAGATAATCTATAAAATCAATTCAACATGAAGCTGATCTCATAGAAGCAGAGTTACCGACGGAAATCTATTAATATCTGAAAGGAAAACAGGAAAAAAGATTTTTCCTTTTGTGAGCACAGAGCATTTGATCTTAAAGGTCAGCCATTGTTACTGGTTTCTTTTCGCCACACAGGAAGTCGATAGGAGAGGTTTTCCAAGGAGTGAAAGCTAAAAATGGACTTTTTCTGTTTTTCATTGTTGTTTATTATTTGTTTTGTTTATTATAGAAAATACTGAGAAAGTTCAACTGAACAGAGACGCACTGATCAAAGATCCCCTGATTTACAAACAGTTCACCAAAGTGAATGGTTTAAAATGTCAGTAATTCTATGGCAGAAATGTCTCAGTGCTGCTGATCCACAGTCCTGCTGTGTTTTCGTCTTTTGCATCATAGAGGCAAATATCAGGAAGGAGTTACGCTGCATCCTGCTCTTCAGGTTAGCCTTGAGCTAACGGTAACTTTCAGCAGGAGCAAGAGGACTGGAGCAGGAGGTAAACTGCATCCCGCAAGAAAACCAGCTACATAAAGAAAGCTTCTTCTTATCTATCCACACCTGCCCTGCAGAGACATCAATGATTAATTATGGGTGGGAAGCAGCGCATGATGCCTCTGAGTCTGGATGGAGAAAGGTGAGCTGTGGTGGTTTGAAGGTGCAGCATCTCCAGCAGAGATGGAGGAATCTCCGCCAGTGGCCAGCAAATAAAACACAGCTCCTCTGCTAGCTGAGCCGCTGAGAGATGAGGCTCTCCATGTTTGCTCTGCCAACAAACTGCGATCAGAGAAATGTGATAATTTAGCAGCCTCAGCAGATGCTTTTATTTTTTTTTTATTTTACAGCCAACCTCAAAAAGAAAAGAAACAACAGACATTGTGGACTTCATGGTTCTAAGCTCCTATTTCTCAACATCCAGCCTGTTGGGTTTTTGATGGTGGTTCTGTCTTACAGACCTTGGATAAACCAGCATTATACAGGAAATACCGGCCGCCTGTTGGCCTGTAGGCTGCTTTCAGAAAGAACGGAGCTCTGTCAGGAGCTGCGGGTCCCCGTGTGAAACTCCCTCACTACTTAGCAAGTAGAGGAGGCTGGGAACAACAACTCAGCCTAATTAGTCCTCGTTGAATTAGAGAGCAGGGTCAGTAGGTGCTGAGATTACTGCACAGAAACATCAGCAACTCTCTGCAGAGGCATTAGCTACAGACCTCCAAAGCTCCGCTGACCTTTTTCCCCCTGAAGAGGCAGGTAGAGCTTCATGGGAGGGGTTCACATGGCCGCAGCATTGCTGCACAGCAAACCATCAGAGGTGGGGGGTAAAGGACCACCGGAGAGGCTAACTGGGCCTCCCTCTGTGGCAGAACGAGGCGGCTTTAGGGGCAGCCAGGAAAGGAGCTGATGGAAAGGAGTCACTGAGGGGCCGACCTTGGCCCCTTGGTTCCTGTGGGACATTGATATTTTAGCATCCTGAGACATTTTGGATGACGCCATGCTGCCATCTTTACAGAATCACCTGGAGACATCTGCCTCCTTGGTGTGAAAGGACTTGATATATTACCTCAACCAGACAAAACACTATTTCTATGGATGTTGAGCATTTCAATGCTTTAAAGGAGCATTTTCTTCTGCCAACTACAGATTCACTTAAACGACAAAAGGCATTTAAAACAGGAGATTATAGCTTGGTTTATGCTTGAAACGGTTAAATTACATCGTTTTCGGCCTCCATCCCCCCTGGAAAATGTGCAACTACGCAGAAAGTTCAGCACAGAAAACATGGCGGAGAGCAGCAGCTCCTGCTAGCAAATGTAAACCTCCAGAGACGTCCCGTGATTTAGCTCATAAATATCACCAGGTTGTTAAAGAAGAGCTGCACCATCCAAAGTGGGATTAATGTCTTCTTTCGGAATCAGACCAGGTTCCCCCGAAAAAGATTAAAATTATTAATGTAGTAAAGTTATTTTTTATGGTTTTGTGTTAAACTACGACCCTGTTAGGAAGCAGAGTCATAGTTAACACCTCTCAGCAGCTTCTCCACTGTTATCCACTCAATATTCCATCCAGTATTAAACTACAGATCTGTGATCATTAAACTGATTAATGTTGCCTAACAGAAACCTGGCTGCAGCAAGAGGATTATGTGAGCATAAATGAGGCAACTCCTCCTAGTTATTTAAATGTTCACATACCCAGAAGTTCTGAGCGAGGAAGAGGAGTAGCAACAATCTTTTAGTCTGACTTACTGATTACTCCAAAGGCAGTTTAAAATTACATTTAACATTCAACCCTTAATTTCCCTTATCTAAATCCAAGCTAGAAAACCTCTTCTTTTTCTAACCTTTTATGGTCCACCTGAGGCCTGCACCATGAAGCAGGTTTACCGGGTTAACAAGAGTTCAGCCTCAACCCGAACTTTCCGGTGCCACATAACATTATTACAGTATGTAACATGAT